TTCAAGTCCCCAGTGCAATCTGGAGGCTCGAGCTGATAAGCAAGCCCAATTCTTTAAGTTCCTGGGGTGCCCATAAAAGCAGCAGCTAGGAGCTCCACTCTACACCTGCAGACAGTACTTCACTGTGTGGGGCATGGGCAGCTGGGCATCTAGGAACACATTCTCGAGCTAGACCCAGGGTTTTCTCGGCCAGGGCCATCCATCAGCTGACTGTAAAAAACCGTGCACCCCATAGCTGTGGCCAAGCTGCTGGCTGCAGGGGATCAGAGGCTTCTAGCTGGGGAAAGGGACCCAAAGGGCTTCCCCCACTGGGGAGTAAATCTCACTGGGACCTTTGATCCCCCACACCAAGCAGCCTGGTCAGAGCTTCTGGTCATGGGATTGATTTAAAGTCCCTGGCGGGGGAAGCCCAAGGAAACTGCTTCAGCAGCACTCTTTTTAAAGCTCCCCATGCACTGAGACCCAGCTGCCCATGCTCCACACCATGAAGTGGTGCCTCAAACTTTGGAATAGAGCTCCCAACTCCAAGCTGCTTCTTCCACGGGCACCCTGGGCCTTCAGATGGACATGTAGATCCCAACTGCCCACCTGCTTTTTAAAGATCCAGGGAGCAGTGGGCATGAGATTGGGGAGATGCTCCCTGATATCGGGCTTTTGGCACACCCTTCCCCACCCCCCATCTGCCTCCAGGCATCAGACTGGGGCACCAGGTCCAGGACTTGATCCCACCGATTGGGTCAGGGACGACACTGTGAGGATCTTTCATGGTTCAGCCCTGACATGCCGCACTTCCAATTTAGGGCATGATACAAATAAGCACAAAGATGTTACACATTATATAGGGAATATCTTTGTGGCTCATTTGGTATATTACTATGCCATGAGTCGGCTATGACATGTGGCTGGATTACTATTTATGTCATGATTAACTCCTTAATCACATTTTAAATGTAATATGTGCCAGGGCCCTTCCTGTTTGCCTGTGCTGGTCTAAAAGCTTACGTGATACTTTACAAAACATATAAGGAAACAAGGTATATGATCTTGAGAGCTTTTAGAATCTAATTCTGGCAGAGTTAGATACAATAGAATAACAAAGCAGGGCACGAATAACTTTTAAATCTAGACAGCGGCCATAATGCTTGCTTAATAAAATGGTCTTCTGTTGTCTGCTTGACAATCATCATTACAGGTAAATATTACAGAGCTTAATCTTCCTTTATTATCTAATTAACTCTATGAAATATCTTTACATTTTCTGATTTTTTTTTCTTAACTAATTTAAATAGCTGACTTCAGACTAACATGGCTACCTGCCTCTCTCTCTTCAATTTAGATAGCCTTCATAAAGGGCAAAGGGCAAATTTGTTCTCTCGCATTTCTGTATGATGATAAAAAAGGGGTCACATCAGAAGATGTTTCTTGTTTTCCCTTAGAAATGGTAGATTTCCACCTTATAGGCCAAACTTTAGACTCAAGGCATCCCTTATCAGACTCAAGGCCCTCTTTCATAACTTTTTTGAATTGAGTGGGACCCCATTTCAAAAACTGATTTATAGTGCTCGCTTCTTTGAAGAGGGGCTGGGCAGTAGTGGCAGGTAAACAGCCAGGCAGGGAGAGTTTTGCCTTAGCTGCTTATCTCCTCACACCTAGACCCCGAGTCTGCCTGTCTGCTTATATTCTGTGACACCCCTCAAAGGATGTCATGGCACCCTAATTGAGAGCCACTGTTATAGACTAAATTAGAGATGCATAAGCTTTCATAAGCAGCAGTTTACTTCATCAGATGTATTCTAATCATTACTTTCTTTTTAGAAGCTCTGCGTCCTGCAGTCTTTTCATAGCATTTGATGAAATAAGCTGCTACGGCCCCTGACAGACATTCACTTCAAGACATGGTGGGATCTAATCTGAGTTCCTGGCAACTGCCATGCCACACATGCATGGCGGGACCTGTGATTTCAGAATTGGGGATTAGATCTTATTTGCACTTTATCTGCTGGTGCAAAGTGAGGTCAGGATCATGACCCCAGGCTCTCCCTGCACCAGGGAGAAACAAGAGTGCCTAAAATCAGCTGATTGTCAGTTGGGACTGGGAACAAAATTGGTCCCCAGCACAAGCTGATTGCCAAAACTCTAGCAGGGGGGGTGGAAGCACAGGGATCCTGGGATCAGATTGCCAGAGCCCAATCCAGGGTCCCCATGCTGCAGGAGCTATAAAACCTCACATATTGTCCAGTTGAGCAGCACATAGGGTTTTGATAGATCCTGGTGTATGGGGAGTCCAGAATCGGGCTGCAGCAGCAGGTACTGCGCTCCCTGTGCACTGGGAGTTGTATAAATACTGTGGGCTGCCCAAAGAGTTTTTAGTCATCCCCAGGCACAGGGACCCTGGCATCTGGCTACAGCAGCCCACTCCCCAAGTCCCCCTGCAGTAGGACCAGTGAAACTACATGTGCTGCCCAGCTGGGTGGCACACAGGATTTGACACATCCCAGGTGGCCATGCGTTCACTTTAAGGCATGAAAGAAATGAGCCACAAAGTTGTTATACTTTGTCACTTCCAAAGTCACTTATTCAATTATCATGCCTTAACTTGACTTGCACATGTGGCTGAGTTACTATTTAAGGCATGATTAACCTGTTAATCACATCTTAAATGAAGCATGTGTCAGGGGTCTAAAAAGTAGACTTTGATTTGGTCACCTCAGTTCACCGAAGAGCAGGCAAATCCCTCAGTAAAACAGAAATGTTTAACTTTGGGAAGGCTGACTTTCGCAAACTCAGAGATTTGGTAAGTCAGGCAATTAGGGGCCATATCCCCCTAGATAAGGGAGTACATGAGAAATGGTCATCACTCAAGAACATGATCCTTGAAGCACAGGGGAAAGCCGTTCCATCATACATGAAATGTAATCAATGGGCAAGGAAGCCCCCTTGGCTGAACAAGGAACTGTTGGACCTCATTAAACTCAAAAAAGAAGCCTACTCCAGTTGGAAAATGGGAAGCATCACCAAAGAGGACTACTCAGTACTTGCCTGCACCTGTAGGGAGTGGTCCAGAAAAACCAAGGCACAAGCTGAACTCAGGCTAGCTTTGGGGATCAAGGACAACAAAAAGTCCTTCAGATATGTGGGAAGTTGAAAAAAGAATAAAGAGAGCATTGGGCCCCTGCGGGATCAAACGGGGCAGCTGACATCCAATGCCCAAGAAAAGGCCAGTCTTTTAAATGACCTTTTTGCATCATTTTTTTCACCATCCCAAAGGGATCACAGTGTCAGAAAGGACACGAACCATTCCGGTAGCGGGTGGCGGGCCCAAAATTGATGTGGATCAGGTGAAGGAACACCTTGAGAATCTGGACATTCACAAGTCCGCGGGCCCTGACTAAATGTACCCGAGAGTCTTAAAGGAGGTGCCAGACATCATTGCAACCCCCTTGGCAAAAATATTTGAAAGTTCGTGGAACTCAGGCAAGGTCCTGGAAGACTGGAAAAGGGCCAGCATGGTCCCTATCTTGAAGAAAGGGAGGAGGGGTGACCTGGGGATTTATAGACCAATCAGTCTGACGTCCATCCCTGGAAAAACCCTAGAGAAAATTGTCAAGGGATCCATACCAGACTAACAGAAGGCAAGCTTCTGAAGGCCAGCCAACATGGCTTTGTGACTGGCAGGTCTTGCCTGACCAACTTCATCTCCTTCTGTGACCAGGTGACCTGAGCCCTGGACAAGGGAGATGATGTGGATGTCATGTATCTGGATTTCAAGAAAGCCTTTGACCTAGTTCCTCATGATGTCCTTATGGCTAAACTGGAGAACTGTGACCTTGATCATCTTACAGTCCCATGGCTACAGGTTTGGACCCAAAGAGTACTAGTTGACAGGACCAAATCAACGTGGTGCAGGGTGAGCAGTGGAGTCCCTCAGGGCTTGGTACTCAGGCCGGTCCTCTTTAACATCTTCATTAATG